AATAAAAGCAAGAAGAAACTCAGAAAATGACAAATTCCGAAACAATATTGCCATCTTGGTAAAGCTAGTGTCATATAGATGTCACTAGTATTCAAAATGACTTTTCGTAATGAACATGGCATTATGTGTCAAAATTATACCATCATATGGAAGGTAATGCCATAAACATGGCATTCTGTATCAAAATTATACTTTCATATGAAAAAATATATCACTATTAGTACTTTATTTGCAAAATGTTATATTGTCATCCTAACACAAGCTTGGTCTATTTTAAATTATTTACTTATCAAAATAAATTTAGATATGTTGTGATATGTGTTTGGGATATAAAGTTTGGGCATTAAACCAAAGTAGGCATTCACAAAAATATATGATAATGTAATAATGTAATGTTTAGGGATTACTTTGTAATATTCCATAACTCTGTTTTATTACAAATGCAAGACTAAGACACCCAATAGGGTAAGCCATTATTCTCCCAGTTATACTTTTGTATATGGTATCAGTCGCGTAGGTTTTGTTCCATCTCTCACCCATGGCCGACGATCACATTAACGCCGCCTCACAGCCGGCGCCCTCCACGCAGGTGCGGCCGCAGTTCTCCGACCTCCAGTTTTCTCAGGTGCTCGTTATTTCGGTGCAGCCGTCATCCGGCGTCGTTACATAGATGACCGGCTCGACCTTCTCCCTTCACTCCGGTTCCAGCAGTGCGACTCCATCTCCAGGGATATCACGTATGACAGATGACGCCCCACCAACATGGTCTCCTCTCGCTCCGTCTCTTCGTCAACGTCTTGGTGATTCACAGCACGTTGATCCATATCGATTGTTTGGCATGTCGTCCTCGATCACATGGACACCGACAACAACCCTACCTCTGCCGCCAATCTTGACCTCGGTCCCTGACGTCGGTCCCTCCTCATTGCCGTACGCTGGTCCGACGTTTATAGCACAACCAGGTACAACTCCTCTGCCGCATGCACACACCTCAGCCGACTTGGGTAATGTCCCCCCTATAGCTTCTTTATCTACTTTGGCATCACAATTGGCGTTCTCTACGCCAAATGTGACTAATATTGTTACCACCCGACTATCCGTTGTTGAAGATTACTTACCATGGCGAACCCCATTTGAGTCTTTCCTCGTATCCCAAAGTCTCCTTGGGATAATGGATGGCTCAATTCGGGTATCGACCACCATGGATCTGGACTATCATCATTGGTTGAAGATAGACCAAACGGTTACGTCTTGGATTTTTGCTACTCTTGCTAGAGATGGTTTGATGGAGGTGTATGATCTAAAATTTTCTCATCTCATTTGGGCACATCTTGAGACCCGTTTTATGTCTGCCTGTTTTGCTCGGTCTGTTGAACTTAAACGTTCATTGTCTCATATTAAAAAGAAAGAGTCACACACCATGGATCAATATTTGCTGGAAATTAAACTGATGCCTGATGCACTTGCTATGATTAATTCTCCTGTTAGTAACCGTGAGTTGATGGAATATGCTATATTGGGGTTGAGCCGTGAATATGAATCTCTTAGCAACACCATCTCATATTTTCCTGGGAATGCTACGCTTGAATCTCTTTGGCCCATTCTTCAAGTGCAGGAGCAACGCAATGCTACCGTTTTGAACCAAGATGCGTCCACGGTGCACCAGGCCTTCGTAGCAGCTCCGACACCTCAAGGCCGAGGGCCTGCTCCTTGTGGATATGGTGCAGGGGTACCTCAGGGACACGGTGGTCGCGGCAACCGAGGGGGACGACCTCAGGGTGATCGCGGACGTGGCGGCCGTGGGCATCATCAGCAGTATCATCAATTCTTTGGGGGTTACCCGGTGTATGGGGCACCCTACGGGCAGCCGGCTCCCCCACATGGACCTCCATATTCTAGCAGCACAGGTTCAGTATTTGGTAATGTTAGTTCTGGTTATGGTTTTACTAATCACTTTCCTACTTGTGTTACTCACAATGTTAGTGCAGGTTTTCCTTTTGTTGATAATTCCTATCCATCTCCTGCTCCGCCTGTTGTCTGTCAGCTGTGTTTCTATCCAGGTCATTCTGACATTACCTGCTCCCGCTTCACTGCTCAAAATACTCCTGCTCTTGCGGCTCTTCCCACTGGTGAGACGCATGATTCGGTCTGGTATCTTGATTCTGGGGCTTCCACGCACATGACTCCTCATGAAGGTATCTTATCTTCTAAATTTCCTTATACTGGCCTGAATCAAGTATGTGTTGCTAATGGTACCAAATTACCTATCTCTAATATTGGTCACGTTAAAGTAATTCGGGCCACTAATAAAGATCATGTCTACCCTTTTACCGCTTTCCAAGCCCGAGTTGTACCTGGTCCAGTCTGGCACAAGCGTCTAGGACATTGTGGTGATAAAGTTCTTTGTACTCTTAGGCAGAATAAATTAATTGCTAGTTCATCAGTTTTTACTCATGATTGTGTTTCGTGTAAGTTGGGTAAATCCCACAGACTTCCTTTTAGTGATGTTACTCATGATACTTCTTCTCCTTTGGAAATTATTCATTCGGATGTTTGGCAATCACCGGTATTTCTAATCTTGGCTTTAAATATTATGTGTCATTTATTGATGATTTTTCTAGATATACCTGAGTTTATCCCATGCGTAGGAAATCTGAAGTCTTTACACATTTTATTCATTTTCAAAAACTGGTTGAAAATCTTTTGGATGCAAAAATTAAATTTTTTCAGCGACGGAGGGGGTGAATTTGATAATTCTCTTTTTAACACGCACTTTCTTAATTCAGACATTTTATTTAGAAAATCTTGTCCCAATACTCCGGCTCAAAATGGGGTAGCTGAACGCAAACACAAACATTTACTCGAGTTGACTAGGACTTTATTAATTGATTCTTCTATTCCTAGTCACTTCTGGGTAGATGCTCTATACACCGCCACATTCATTATAAATCGTTTACCTACCCCCGTTTTGCATGGCGTTTCTCCATATAAAAAACTTTTTAATAAATTGCCTGATTATATTTTTTTGCGTGTATTTGGGTGTTCCTGTTTTCCTAATTTTATTGCTGCCTCCAACAATAAGCTCTCACCGCGTTCTACGCACTGTGTCTTTCTTGGGTATGCTCCGGGTTATAAAGGGTATCGATGCCTCTCTCCTTCCACGGGCCGGGTTTATGTTAGTCGGGATGTTCTCTTCCATGAAAATATCTTTCCTTATCCTTCCTTGGTGACTACATCTTCTTCCCCCACATCTACCTTGCCCTCATCTTGGCTTTCTTCGTCGGTCTCCGATCACTATCCGGTGACCGTTGTCCAACCAGCCTTACCACTCCCCTCCACACCGCACTACACCAGCCCTCATCTACCTTGTAGCACACTACACCAGTCCTCCCCACATCATACACCGTCTGCCACCACACCTAGTACCCCGTCGTCCACTCCTACTTCACCGGTTCCCACTGTCCGACCCTCCCAGATTACCCCATCTCTTACCGATCAACTCAACAGCCCCACTACACCACTCACGGCTTCTCCTTCTCCCTCCCCAACCAGTGACCGCAGCTCCCATTATCCACCATCATCCATAGCAGCTCTCTCCCTTTCACCACCACCCATCAATATTCATCCAATGCGTACACGCGCCAAGGATGGTATTTTTAAACCCAAAAACATTTTTACTTTAAGTGTTTTATCTCCCCCGGATGATCCTACATGTTTTACACAGCCAAATAAAAGTTTTAGTTGGCAGGGTGCCATGACAGATGAATTTAATGCTTTGATTAATAATAAAATTTGGGATTTGGTACCTTGGGACCCTACTAAAAATGTGGTTGGTTGTAAGTGGATTTATAAGACAAAATATCTTTCTGATGGGTCTGTTGAGCGGCATAAAGCTCGTTTAGTTTCTCAAGGTTTTAATCAACAGGCTGGTATTGACTTTACTGAAACCTTTAGTCCTGTTGTTAAACCGGCCACTGTTCGTCTTGTTTTATCTGTAGCCACTTCTTTGGGTTGGTCTGTTCGTCAGTTAGATGTGAAAAATGCACTTTTGCATGGTGTTCTGACTGAGGAGGTTTATATGTGCCAACCTTAGGGCTTTGTTCATCCGTCCTATCCTAAGCATGTGTGTCGCCTTCGTAAGGCTCTTTATGGCTTGAAACAAGCTCCCCGAGCTTGGTTTCATCGCTTCAATGGTTTTTTGGTGAGTCGTGGTTTTACATAGAGCAGGTCTGACTCATCCATGTTCACTTATCGTACTGCGTCTCAGGTGGTGTATATTCTTTTGTATGTGGATGATATTCTTATTACCGACTCTTCTGCTTCATTTGTTTCCTCTGTTATAACCACACTATCTCATTAATTTGCGATGAAGGATTTGGGGGAGGTTCATTATTTTTTGGGTATTCAGGCTAAACGCACACCTACGGGTTTGTTCTTATCACAGGCTAAGTATATATCTGATCTCTTACGTCATTTTCACCTTCATACGGTGAAGCCTGTTCGTACCCCCTACCTTCACGCACTACATTATCTCTCACAGATGGGGAACTTTTATCTGACATTACTGAGTATCGTAGTATGGTAGGTGCTCTTTAGTATCTTACCATTACTAGACCTGATATTACTTATGTTGTACACCTTGTGTCCCATTTTATGCATGCTCCACGTACTACTCACTTTTTGGCTGTTAAGAGGATTTACACATATTTGCAGGGCACAAGCACCCATGGCCTTTGGTTACGAGCTAATAAAAATATTTCCGTGGTTACGGCCTACTCTGATGCATATTGGACAGGATGTCCAGATAGCTCATGGTCTACTACGGACTATGCGGTGTTTCTAGGCTCCAATTTGATTTCATGACGCTCCAAGAAATAGCCGACAATGTCCAAATCCTCTACTGAGGCCGAATACAGAGCCATTCTTATACTGTCCAGGATACGCTCTTCATCAGACCACTTCTGGCAGATATGGGCATTTTTATTTCGGCCCCAGTGAAGCTCCTTTGTGATAATGTCTCAGCCTCTAACTTGGCGGTTAATCTCATTCAGCGTGATCAGAGTAAGCACATTAAAATTGACTACCATTTTGTTCATGAACGAGTAGCACATGGAGATCTTGTGGTGAAGCATATTTCTACCCAGTTACAGTTGGCGGATATCTTCACCAAGAACTTATCTAGTCAGCGATTTGAATTTTTACGTTCCAATTTGCACGTGATTTCCAATGCACAAATTAATGGGGTGTAATAATGTAATGTTTAAGGATTACTTTGTAATATTCAATAACTCTGTTTTATTATAAATACAAGGTTAAGACACCCAATAGGGTAAGCCATTATTCTCTCAATTATACTTTTGTATATAATGATAGTAACATATCTCTTTATATAAAGTTCGATGTACAAGTAATTAAGGCACTTACATTAGACACCTTCACAATTTGGAATATTCAAATTATTTTTTCTCATTCTAAAATACTGTTGTGCTACTTTTTGAAAAGCTGTTGCGGTGCATAGTGATAACAGCCTAACAGATGAGTAATATAGAGTATTGAACGGGAAAATGGAAAAAATTCTCACTTCTTTTTGTACATAGTATGATTATACAAAATCACTCCTTACCAAACATTATAAACATTTACCGAAATCACTTTAAAAATCAGTTTTGAAAACTTTATCAATTTTAAAAATCACTTTTTCAAACGTAGAAACTATCCCAAACACTCCCAAATCCCAATTTTATTACTCATTAGTCATTAAAAATCCTTCCTGGGAGAGTCTGAAAGTCCTAGTATCAAGACTCAAGAGCTCGGATGGTAGCGTCTAGATGACCTGACTGTCCTTACATGTCAAGGTTGCGCAATATCATTGCGAAAGTCACTAAACTCGACCACCTAAGACAACTCCATGCCCACCTCATTCATTACTCCCTCCCTTCCCAAAGCTACTGGGCGGTGCTGCTTATTAACCACTGCACCCGCCTCCGCGCTCCGTCGCCTTACACTCGACACATTTTCGACTCGGCGTGTGAACCGAACGTCTTTGTTTTCACCAGCATGCTAAAGTACCATTCCCAACTTGGCACCCAGGGTGATGTTCTCCATCTGTTTGCAGAAATGCGGGAGTGCAAAGTGAGCCCTGATGCGTTTGTGTACCCAATGCTGATCAAAGCGGCTGGTGAGCGAGGGGCTATGTTCCATGCAAATGTTATTAAACTGGGTCTTGACTGTGATAGGTTCATGCGTAATGCGATCATGGATATGTATGGGAAATTCGGACCTATCGAGCTTGCAAGAGAGTTGTTTGATGAAATGCCCGACAGAGCTATTGCAGACTGGAACTCTATTATTTCTGCGTACTGGAAATGGATGAATGATGTTGAAGCACATAAGTTGTTTGACATGGTGCCGGATAAGAATGTGATTACTTGGACAACAATGGTGACTGGGTATTCAAAAAAGAAGGATTTGGTGAGCGCAAGGAGATTTTTTAATCAAATGCCAGAGAGAAACGTGATTTCGTGGAATGCAATGCTTTCTGGCTATGCCCAAAATGGGTGTACTGAGGAAGCTATGAGGTTATTCACTGATATGGTTAATGCTGGAATAAGTCCAGACGAGACAACATTGGTAACTGTGATTGCTTCTTGCTCTTCACAAGGTATTCCTTCCCTTGCCGATGGGCTTGTCAGGATGATCGAAGAAAAGGGCATTCATTTAAATTGTTTTGTTAAAACAGCACTTCTTGACATGCATGCCAAGTGCGGAAATCTAGAGATGGCAAGAAAGATTTTTGATGAGATGGGTTCGTATAGGAACTCCGTTACATGGAATGCAATGATTTCTGCGTATGCAAGAGATGGCAATTTGGCTTCCGCGAAAGAGCTCTTCGATAGGATGCCGGTGAGGGACGTTGTATCCTGGAATTCTATAATAGCTGCTTTTGCACAGAATGGTCAGTCTAAAATAGCAATTGATCTATTCAAAGAGATGATTGAGAAGGAACTGGTGCCAGATGAAGTAACAATGCTTAGTGTAATCTCTGCTTGCGGACATCTTGGGGCTCTGGAATTTGGCAAAGAGGTGGTCAATTTCCTAAGGAAGGACCAAATTAAATTGAACATTTCAGGTTATAATTCCTTGATTTTCATGTATTCCAAGTGTGGAAGCATGGATGATGCAAAAAGGACATTCCAATCCATGGAATGTAGAGACGTGGTATCATACAACGCACTTGTTACAGGCTTTGCTGCTTATGGTAATGGAGTTGAAGCTGTTGATTTACTCTGGAGGATGGAGGCAGAAAACATAAAACCAGACCGGATAACTTATATGGGAGTTCTAACAGCTTGCAGTCATGCAGGATTGGTAGATGAAGGCCAAAGAATTTTTGAATCTATCAAAGCTCCTGAAGTTGATCACTATGCATGCCTGGTGGATTTGTTAGGCAGAAATGGTAAACTAGATGACGCAAAGGGATTGATTGAAAGAATGCCACTGCACCCTCATGCCGGTATATATGGTGCACTTCTAAATGCTAGCAGGATTCATAAAAGAATTGATCATGCAGAGTTTGCAGCCAGTAAGCTCTTTGAGATGGAACCAGAAAATGATGGCAATTATATCTTGCTTTCTAATTTATATGCTTCTGTAAGGAGATGGGAAGATGTTGAAAGAATTAGAGGATTGATGAGGAAAGAGGGAATCTCAAAGACAACTGGGTGGAGTTGGGTAGAACATGGAGGCAAAATGCACAAGTTCATAGTTGGTGATCAGTTTCATGAAAAATCAGATGATATTTATAGAGTACTTCGGGAAATGGAAAAGAAGATGAGGGTAGCTGGATATATAGCTGATAAGAGCTGTGTTTTGAGAGACATTGAGGAAGAAGAAAAGGAGGAGATGGTCGGTAGTCACAGCGAGAAGTTGGCTGTTGCATTTGCAGTTTTAGTAAGTGAGCCAGGGTCAGTGATACGAGTGGTAAAGAACCTTAGGATCTGTAGGGATTGTCACACTGCTATGAAGATCATCTCAAAGTTAGAGAATAGGGAGATTATTGTGAGGGACAACAACAGGTTTCACTGCTTCAACAATGGATTATGTTCATGCAAGGACTACTGGTAGTAAATGGTAATACTTGCTTTACTTTCGATCTTATTTAACTCTACAGAGGACCATGATGACAAACATCTTCTAACCACTAAATGCTAACTATACATAAACAATTTCTTTTGCCCGAATGGGTTTTTGTAATACATAAATCGGGATGTAATGGTACCACAGATTTTAATACCCAGATCTAGTATTTATTTCCTGCTCGTGCATTTCATTTTAGAACTTTATGGAAACACCCCCACAGACTAGGGATGGAGTCGGGCCGGGCCTGACCGGGCCTTACCGGGCTTTTTTTTTTGATTTGTTGAGACTTGGAACTAGCCGGGTAGCTACCGCACCCGGGTCGGCCCGGTTACCTTTTTTTTTTCTAATTACTTCCTACCCTCCACCCCCACACCCCAAACCCGGCCAAAACACCCAACCCAACCCATTTACCTCCCAAATATGTTGAAAAACAAAAAAAAAATGGCCGGGGTCGATTCCTTTTCTAGCGACCAGGAGCCCACCCCGAAAATTGGCGGTTCAGGTATATTGCAACCGGGAAGGCAGGCCGGGCCGGTTAGTAACAGTAGCGGGCCGGGTCAGTTTCGGTCCGGTTTTCCCGGCTCAAGTCCATCCCTACCACATACTAAGGCCATTTTTTAATGGGAATCAAATATACATTATAGTATTATACACGACCTCCATCTTAAATTGACACTCCCATGTTTTGCAAGGATGGTACTACCTATTAAGAAAAAAATTATTTGTACACACTTTTTTATACACTCCCGTCCACACGTCGGTGAACATGCTATTTTTTTGTCCAGCTATTTGCAGACAAAACATGTTCACCGATGTTAACAAGGAGGGTTGTACTATTAATTTGGGACAGAGAGTATATTTTACGGCAAAATATAGTAACATTTGATACTTCCTAATAACAGTAAAGCGGAAATGCAACGAACTACTATTACAACATTCCATTTAGAGCTAGTGCTTAGTTACAACTTTATTTTTAAAATTAAAGAACTGTTACTTGATTTATTGAAGTGTTTATCCCACATTAATTTGGTATTAAATAATAAACCATTATATAAGATTTATCATATTAAAATGAACTCCAAGTTTACAAATCGTGAGATTTCATTAAGAAATTTAAATCAATGTTAAAGCCTTGGGCCTTATTAGTTAATACCAATATCATTATATCATACGGAGTATTCACTATAACATCTGAAACCTCACTGTGTTGTATTGACATACACTCTACGAAGCTGCACAGAGTAAACCAGTAACAATCTCAATTCACGCATTTAAATAATTCAGTGAACACGTTTAGTAGAAGGGGACCAAAAAGTTACACGAGATAGAATTAGAAAAAATTAAATTTTTGGTCCCATGACTATTATACTACTTTCACATTTAGTCCCTTACTTTCAGATTGTCCACATTTAGTCCGTGACCATTATCCCCTCACCACTCTTCGTCCTTCTGGCCAAAATTCCAGCAAATTTAGTCCACTTATCAACCTCAGAATCAGTCTTTGCATTAAATTTTATATAAGGTTGAGTTTTTCATATCAGTCTTTGCATTAAATTTGGTTTTTCATACGTAAAATCTGCATTATATTTGCCGGAATTTTAGCCGGAAGGACGAGAGGTGGTGAGGAGATAATGGTCACGGACTAAATGTGGACAATCTGAAAGTAAGAGACTAAATGTGGAAGTGGTATAATAGTCACATGACTAAAAGTGGAATTGTTTCAATGATAGAATTAGAACATTTTTTATTAGAAGGGAGTGAAAACCATTAAAGATAATATAGTATCACGTCCCAAGTGATAATATATTTATTACAACAGTGGATCTCATGAAAGTAGTCTAAAAAACAAAGATGCAAATTCTCAAGGCCACCCACCAGAATGATCTGAAGAGCCTACAGCCGCTTCAGCAAAAGAGGATAAATAAGTACCCATGAGACCCTGAAAACACAAGCATATGCAATGTACAAACCAAAAACGTGTAAAAGTAACACTGGCAAAATACATTCCTATATCTACATAGTGCATCTCATAGTAAGCAAAGTACGATTATGCTAGTTTATGTCTATATGAATTTTTAATAAAACTTTGCATTAAATAAATACACTTTAAAAAGGGCAAATCCGGCTGATATTTATAAATGAGGAGATCATGTAGGTTCAAATTTTAGGGGCGGCTTCTTGTCAAAATGACAAGGAAAAACTTACCCCCTTTTAAGAAGAAAAAAAAAAGATGACACTCCATCCCTGAGGCCCCCCCAACCCCGACCGGACGGTACGTTGGGAGGATGTAAATTGGACTATAATCCCAATCTGACAGATAGAGAGTGGAGCTCTGTCCCCGGTACTTGCAGAGGCCCTATGCATTTTTAGCATAGTAACCCCTCATCGCAGTTGCTGGGATTCGAACCCGAGACCTAACCCTTGTGGCACTCCCTTGCTACCAGTTGAGCTACGCCCACCGGTTACCCCCTTCTAAGGACACAATTTGTCGTAAACCATGTGTATAGACTATAGGCACATCTGGCCAAACTTGTACCGAACACGAGCAAAAGAACCCAATAAAGATGTTAAAAATAAAGGAAGAGGAGAAAATTTACTAAAAAGGAGACAGGCAAAAAGGTAAGGAAGAAGATTTAGAGACGGAGGGAATACATAGAATTAATGATGCATTTAACTAAAGTTAATGTTATTTGGAAATTTGTTTAGGGGAGCATCCTCAACAAATTGATCTTATGTATGACAAATTGATCCCATTTTACCTTTTTCATCCATCTTACCAAGTTTGTCTCATATGATATTTGATACCGAGTAATGTTTAGATGATTATTGCAATTTATTGCATCCAATATCAACACTCAACATCATGTTTCTTGATAATCACACCACTCCTTTATGCTTCAATCTTAGAGGGCGAAAGTAATATTGTTTAAAAGAGGGGACATCACCATGCCGATGGAAGACCATACCTAACAGGCTAGGTAGAAATTAGGGGTAGAACTTTAGAATCAACAACCAGCAAACTAGGTGTAAGAGAAGTTATGTTCATGTAAATATTTGTATACAACTTTAAATATGCTTGAAAACGTGTAATTAATTATTTATACTATTTTGTCTATTGGTATTAGTGGCTTTATGAATTGGTAAAAAATGACATGTTAAGAAATGTGGATTTATGTGATTGATATTGAATTGATAAAGTAAGAATAAAGAAAGAATGAATTAGAACCAGACAAACTTTACCAATTGCTATGAGACCATCTTACTGGAACGAATCAAAAAAGAAAGATGAAACCATCTTAACGGGACAGAGGGAGTCTTATAGATGTTGTAAAAACATGTCACTAAAAAGTGGAAATACATGTGACTAATTTGTATTTTGTAAATGTAATATTATTTGTTGATTCGTTGATACAAATGTTACTCCGTGTATTGTTTGTGTAAATGATGTAATAAATAATGTAAAATGTATGTGACAATTGTGTAAATTAATATGTATTTGTTTAAGTAATGGAACACACGAAGTTGGATGGATTTAAAATGTAAATCAATGAAATTCAAGAGACATAAAGTGAGTTGCAGACTTATCAAATGCAAATGCAACATTTTGGTGTAAATGTTTATAGATAATACTCCCTTCATTCCACAAAACTTTTACGACTTTCCTTATTTAGTTGTACAAAAAAAATTTGTCATTTCCATTTAAAGTAATACATATGTCGTTAAAGCTATTTATCTTTCTTCTGCACTAATCTCAACTTTGACCAAATTTTATGGGACGAGGGAGTATAAAACACATGTGAAAATATGTGAATATATATATATATATATATATATATATATATATATATATATATATATATATATATATATATAGGGTTGGGTTCTAATAAGAAGACATCTTAACGTGAGAAATGAGAAGCTTCACATTTGCTTCTTTCTGATGCACTTTTTCGCTAATCTGATGCACCTTTTGCGATGGCGGAAAAGTTCTGATTAATTACGGATATGCCACCGCGTCTAGCATCACTTTTTTAAATATTTTTTGCACTTTCTCGTGCACTTTTTTGCTAATCTGATGCACAGATCTTAAAATGAACGCACCAGATGCATTCTCACTTCTTACGATAAGCACTCTTCTCATTTGATCCTTATTCTATATATATAGATATATATATATATATATATATATATATATATATATATATATATATATATATATATATATATATAATTTTGTGTAAAGAAAGGAACACATCAAAGTAAGTTGGATATAGAATGTAAAGCAATGGAATTGAATAAATATAAGTCCACAAAAACTCAAGACTTATCAAATTCAGATAGGAATTTTTTTTAGATGAAGAAAGTTGAAGTTGTGGATTGATGAAGAAGAGAACCCCCTATATTGATTTGTAATGTGAGTTGAATAGAGGAGGAAGAAACGAAACACGTGAATAATTTGTAGAAGAAGAGAATTGAATAAGAGAAAAGCAAAAGAACCGGTGAAGAGGAAAAAGCAGTAGTAGAAAAAGAAAACGTCATTTTTTCAAATATAAAGCTCAAAACATCATTGTTTTGTAAAATGGGTGTAACATGCGGCAGCTGTGCCCATGATATAATTTTCCTTTCAAACCTATGTATCATTGCAACATTAATTAAATAGAATCCCAAAAAAGTTTCCTATACATTGAAAATTTACCTAAACCTCTTGCCTAGGGGGATGCATCTGGTTGTTTCTCTGGCATAGCATTTTGAATAGCAGGTACTTCTTTGTACGCCTCATATAAACGAGATAGAATGGGGAACTCATTCTGCACATAGCATTGAACACAACACGCAGCAGAAAACATCTTAGAATAGATAGATAACCCATAAACATACATAATGCAGCTTTGGAATTATTTTCATTCACAGTACTGTCTTCTTGAAGACAAGAAAACTGGTGAACATACAACATGCATGTGTCACGGCCAGTCGGCAAAAAATTTGTAGTAAAAATTGAAAGGAACAAGCGGCATAAGAGAAACCAGGACTTAATGACAACTTAAAGGTGAATAGGGATAAGAATAGTTGGTTCTTTTAATATTGCACCGAAGGGTTCAATATATTTATATATATGTGACATATAAAGTCAAATGAGTGAGCACCAGATATGAGACATAAGTTCCAAAACGTATGAACACATATAAAACAAACAGTAAACAAATGAAATAGATTTTGGGCAACCAATAGATCAGCTTGCAAGTTGGATGTAAGGATTACCATATCCATTTTGAATCTGTTGACAGCTCCATAGATTTGGGGCACTAGAAAAAGATCAGCCTGCCAACAAGTTATAATACTATTCAAGCATCACATACAGCACAACTTGGTCAAAAGTCAAGTCTACATTTATTAAGAAGACATCATATAGGTAATATCTGATATGCATTATATCTATGGGGAGGGGGGGGGGGGGGACTGGTTCAACTCAGAGTGCCCTACACCCACCACCTGACCCGATATTAATAATTCAAGTTGTGTAAATAAACAATTAGGATTGTACCAAGTACCAACATAACAACACATACAATGCTCCCCATGTCACAAAAAGATTCAAGTTAGAGTGAGATACAACTTTTTTGTTCAACTCAACAAGGTACAAACTTTTACAAGTTATGAATGGTCACTTATATCCCAAAAAATATTTTAAAAATTGAGTAGGCTACATAACCCCCTTCATGTGATGACTTTACTACTATTACAAAAATGCATCACTGAATATAGATGAAGCTTTTATGGTTGGGTTAATGATTAGTCAATTACAGTGATAACTCAGTTTCATTCTTAGCCTCTTAAGGCTAGATTGTTCCTTGAGCACATGCATTCCCATTTGTATGTGAGATATTACAATGTAATTATAATATCACTACATTACATGGTTATTATTCTTTCTTGGTTGAACAATTACTGCTTCTGTCTAGGTGGTGGTAGATTGGATGTTGTATAATAATTGCTAGCTTTCCCTTTTGTTTATTTTTTTCGGACACATTCGCCCTGGCTAGATTAGGCACTCTACACGATAGGCACACTACTACCACCTGATGAACACAAAAAACTTCTGCAACATTGTGTCAGGATATATTTTTGGGGAGGGGACAGGGGTAGAGGGGGTAGAATCTGCTGGTAATTTCAGAAGTACCCATCAGGGGTCCAAGTGAAAATATATCCTAGTAAAAGAAACTAACCAGATAAATTTCATCACCCGTAGCATACTTCCCAGCATGACTTTTCAATAACGCTTCCAGCGCTGCAAAAATGGTGTCACAAGTAATAAAATCATAGAAGCACAACAGCTATATTTTTAAGTCTTATAAAAATGGAGACAGAGAACCCATGCGACTAAGAAATGCATTAAGTTATACTCCATCCGTCCCATTAGACTTTGCCAACTTTCCCTTTTTGGTTGTCCCAAAAAACTTTGTCACTTTCCTATTAAAGCAACTAATTTGTGGTTCTGCACATTTCTCTCCTTTGCACAAATTTCAACCACACATTTTTTACTATTCTTATTTCTCACCTACTTTGCACTTGGCAAAGTCCACCGGGACGGAGGGAATATGAAAGTATTTGTGAGCCATGTGACTAGAAAATCAATCCAAATTAGGTAACCCAGATACCCTTCTGATCATACGAAAGAGTTGTGACCTGAATAGCTAATAAAACTACCACAGGATATTATGAAGTTTTATACTCTCTCCACCCCATTGATAGGTCCCAATTGTTTCCTTACACTGATATTTAAGAAAAAATATATACGTAATCAACTATCAAAGTATGCCTTTGTAAAAATCAGAAAAAGCTGTGCAAATGGGCCCAAATGTCAAAACATAAAGGGTAAACTGAGAAAAATAGAAAGTTGCTGATTCCTAAAAAAAGGATGGTGAACTTAAGTGTGGGACAAACTAATAAAGAAAATGGGGCTTATAAAATACGACAGAGGGCTTGTTTGTAAAGGTGACTGCAAAATGCTTCTGAAATAATTGTTTCCAGTGTTCGTCAAGGACATAAAATAGAAGAACTGGAAACACAGAAGGGCCACTGAAGGGGGGAGGATGGGGGAGGGAAGGTAGTATGGATTGGAAAGAATCTCTTCTGACTCAAACTAAAAAACTACCAAAACTATCTTTATGCTTCGTGTTTATTAAGTTCACATGCTTTTTACCAGCAAAGCCTTTTCGTATATGAGTCAGACACCATGGGACTTTTTCATCGGGACCCACTTTGTCTTCAATATATTTCTGTGTTGCAAGGAGAGAAAGACAACACCTTGAGAAATCAAAATGCACGTGTTCAGATGGTCAAATGTAATTAACCAACCAAACGATAATACTACACTTACCAGAATAACTAAATTTTGTAGAGGTTGTATGTTTGCAGAAACTATATTTGCAGCCTATAATCAAATAACGAACCAGTGAGAAATAGCAACAGTACACCATAAGAGAAAACAGTGCGCAAAGACATAGACATGAATGATCCTGGCACTTTAATACTTATACAACACTTTGATGGGGGGCATCTCTCACTATTAGGTACAGAATGGTTTAGTGCCAGCACCATGTTTAGTTCTTATTAGATCGGATAACAATTTCTAAGCCTAAAAAATCTTATTTGTTCATAACTAAAGTGCCTCTAAGAGTATCTCAACCTATACATAGTGGACAATATCCCAATAAAGTATAATTTATGTATTAAGTTGTTTCAGAATTCATCTGCAGACTGCAGCAACTCAAGAAGCGGTTCAATGCATATCATTCATGTACTGATGACCAACTGATCACCAACAAAAGTGGGACTAAGGCTTTAGTGAGTTGACTTGAGCTGATTAAGGTCAAACTGAAACAAACATATTTTGATAGGAATATGGCTTAGTAGGCTAATAATAAGAAATAATAATAATAGTAGGGTACATTTAGTAGTATAAATAGAAGGGAAGGGCTGTTAAGTAAATAGCTATTAGTTGGTTATATGCTTTTATCCCTGCGTGGATACTTTTACTATAAATAGTAGGCCAATAGCTAATTAAGGCAGGCTGTTATTTGATTTGAGTGTTGTCTCGGAGAGTGGGCTTCTCGAACAGTCCCGGTTGCCTTGTTGCCTTTGAGATATTTCTTATCAATAAACATCAACTTCCCTAAATTCCTTATCAGATTTGTGGTGCTAGTTTACTGGTTTTTCACTTGGATTATTACCAGCTCTAACAATGGTATCAGAGCAATTAGCTCCTGGCGATCGGAATTGAAGTGCGACTACGGCAGAGCACTTGTTCGGGTGATCGGAAACTGTGTAGCATCGCCAGAAAATTGTTCCGTTTGAGTTGTGGAAGGTCTGGACGAGAGCCAAAGATGAACGAACAGACTAGAAGACGATCGTGGTTGCCAACAACCTCTCTTAGTTCGCAATCTGTATCGCGATCTATTTCTCACGTTTCATCATCGCAAGTCGTCCCTAACAGTAATCCGCAGAAGTACTCGCAATCGCAGAGATCGACGCTCACATATAATTCCAGTTCACAATCACGAACTTCATCTTCCCGTTCGCAGACTTCGTCTCTAGCTTCGCACCTTTCGCCGTCACCAACAACGTCATCTCCCAATTCATTGCGAACTGTTTCTACTCGCAGATCTTCATCTCCCTTGCAATCAGCTTCTCAACGAGCCAACTCTCCAAATCAACGAACAAAGGATTCTGAGCGTCTAGCTGCGTCGGAAGGTAATTATCATCACTCCAGACTCTCTAGTATGGGTCGCGATAGCAGTAGAAGTGATATTCGTACAGGAATAAAGGTTGAACTACCGTTGTTTAACGGGGATGATGCAGACAGTTGGATTGTGAGGATGGAAGAATATTTCCGTTTCAAAGCTACTGTGGAAAAAAATAAAGTTGAAGTCGCCGAAGAGGCTATGGAGGATGATGCGTTGTACTGGTTTGAAGGGTGGGAATTTCAAACGAGAGGAAAGTGTTGGGAGGGTCTGAAGGAGGCCATTAATCGGCGATTCCAACCACGCAGGCGGAAGTCAGAGAACCAGAAGTCGCGATCGTCAAGGAATGCTCCCAGTTCACAATCCCGAACTGTCTCTCAGCAGATGTCATCGCAAACAGCTTCATCGCGAACAGTGGTTTTCAGTTCTCAGGTGTCGTTGCCAGGAGATTCCTGCAGGGCAAAAACCTCCCCATTCAGGCAGGAATCATCATCTTCCATTAAATCAGCACTTGTCGAATCAGGAAATAGAATGTTAGAGAATCCACTGTTGATGATGAACAATGAGAGGAGGCCAGCTGAACCTGTTATTAAGGAACCGGATCCGGAGGACAAACACGAGGAGCATCAGCCAAACACCAAGGTTTCTGGAATGCAAAGTATGAGGCTATGTGGAGTTATTGTCAATCATAGCCCAACGGGGGAAGTGGGAAAAGGAGTTAATGTCAGTCAGGTTGAGGAGAATGCCAAAACATTGTCATGTTCAACACTTCTCAGCTATGGGGACCACTCGGAATCAGAAAATGGATCACCGGAAATTCAGCCACCTACTCTGACCCCTGAGTTGAAGCCGGTTGCACCATTAGTTACAGAATCAGATCCAGAAGAGGAGGTTAATCAACCTACAGGATTCTCATCAGACAATAGGGAAGGTTTAGAAGTGCGTAAATCCAATACCCTTACCTATGATGATATGAGGTATGCTAGTGCACTGGACATAAACCCAGGAGAATTTAAAACTTTGATTGATATAGTTCGTGAACTTGGATTGAATGTTTTGAAGAATATCGTGTTCCATTATTCATCAAACACTAATTGGGAAGGACTTGGCAAGTTTGATAGTTTGAGCTATGATCAAGGTTATGATTTTGATCATCGGAAAGTAGTCAACAAAGTTGTTGCTAAAAAGATAATGAATCAGTATACTACCTACTCTCTAATAATGTATCATCCTAGCCCAACCAAGGAGGGGCACGACTCCTTTCTCGAAAATTCTGCAGCAGAAGGCAAGGTACAGACTGTTTACTTGTGTAGGGGAGATATGAAACCTCCTGAGTTTGTTGGTAAGGATGGACTTCCTGTTTATTTTGATTGTGGAAGGAGGATAGAAGGGAACAAGATCAATGCTGAAGCTGACTTTGTAATGTTAGTTGGAGATGTTTTGTGGTGGCCAGCTTCTGGGCAAGGGAAGATACTGCTGAATTATGAGGACGATCTGGGTAAGCAAGTTGCTGCGGTTCTCTATGATGTAGCAGCTGAAATTACTACAAGGGCAGCTGGAATTTATCTTACAGAACCTTTATATGATGATATTGGTTACAAAGAAGAGGCTTCAAGTGTAATCCCAGGGAGTTATTATATCCAGTTTATGCCCATGTTTGCTGCGAAAGATGTAAAGCTGAAAGGTCAAGTAATGAAGGTCAGGGTCAAGCAAGCTGGGAGGTATTGGGAAGGAAGAGGTGCCAGGATGAAGTGGAAGTGGAAGATCATGGCTGTTTCCTATCACCCCACCTTGAGGACAAGGTGGTTGTTCGGGGGGGAGTATTGATAGGAATATGGCTTAGTAGGCTAATAATAAGAAATAATAATAATAGTAGGGTACATTTAGTAGTATAAATAGAAGGGAAGGGCTGTTAAGTAAATAGCTATTAGTTGGTTATATGCTTTTATCCCTGCGTGGATACTTTTACTATAAATAGTAGGCCAATAGCTAATTAAGGCAGGCTGTTATTTGATTTGAGTGTTGTCTCGGAGAGTGGGCTTCTCGAACAGTCCCGGTTGCCTTGTTGCCTTTGAGATATTTCTTATCAATAAACATCAACTTCCCTAAATTCCTTATCAGATTTGTGGTGCTAGTTTACTGGTTTTTCACTTGGATTATTACCAGCTCTAACATATTTGTTTTAGCAAGAAAAGAGAAAAATGGAAACATTGTCTAACCTCAATTGCTAGGGTTGTAAATAATGAACATTGCATGCTTGCTAAAGTGAGTAGAGTCGATGTATTAAGGAGATATAATCCAGTAAAATATGACTCTTTGCTAGGAGAGCTTCAATCCTGATACTTCATATAGGCCTAAAGAAAACATTTTTACAGCTTGATTGAATTTATAGAATTACAGCAGTGTTATAAAAGCATCAGGCGGCCAGTAAGCGGTGGACTAGGGCCTAGCGCCTAAGGAGACTTACGCGGCTACATCAAGGAATAGGTGGGTTAGGTGGGGCCAAATCAAGAAAATACAGAGATGTCCATAGGTGTCCAAGGCTCCAAGCACCCAGGTGGGGGCTGGTTGATGGTAGAGGTAGACATGAACTTTAAAACTGATTTATAGATATATGGGTACCATAAACAACATAAAGGTAAATTATACTCCGATAAAAAGATGATTATAAAAGTTTGATAGCCAATTTAGTGATGTGGGCTAATCCAGTTGAAAGTTGAAATCCAGTCGACTTATCTCCGTGAAGTTATCTCTAGGACTTGATGTAAAAATCAAATAGAAACAAGAAAATCATACATTTTATTCCTGCTGAACTGGTACTTAACAAGGCACTTTACTCCTATAGATGTGTTCTGAAATGTGAGTACCTAAAACACTTTCTCAATTTACCTGAAAGTGTATAGCTTTTAACTGAAGATCATCAGGCAACAAGGGATGCTCTGGGTACTTTTCTTCCAAATACTGCACAATATGATTACTTGTGACTTATCAGTTATATACTTATATTGTGCAAAATCCAGCCTTAACAGCTAGCAAAAACGACTATTAAGGGCTCACCATCAAAATGGCAAAAGAGTCTGAAATAACCACATCTCCATCCACCAATACAGGCACATACCCCATTGGGTTGATCTTCAGAAATTCTACATTTCCATCCACAACACAAAAAATTGAGGTTAATAATGTGGCCAGGTTAACAACTCTACACTCTTTGATGTGTCCATTTTTCTTTACGGCACTCATTGATAGATTTTCCCCAAACTCTTTTGAGAATGAGGCTTGGATGGTGTTGTTGTTGACTCATTGATCGATTTACTTCAGACAAAATTGAAAAGAACGTGACAAACCAGGGCTGGATTGCTCGCCATTGATCAAGTTAACCGCTTTGTACTCGTAATCAAGTCCTGTGATTATTTCACATTAAATTTCGTATGGGATTTTGGATAAAATTGTTCCATTAAATAGAGTGCTCACCTTTCAGATTGAGAGCAATTCGAACGCGGAAAGAGCAAGAACTCCGCCAATACGAGTAGAGCTGAAGCATGTTTGAGTCTCAGTTGCTAACCGTCCGAGCAACCGTAGTTAAATACTCTTATACTCTGTACAGAATAGAAGAAGAAGAAAGTTAAAATGAAGTGGGTGGCTACTCAAAATAGTTACGAGCTGCGTTGGCCGGCAATGTGATGGCTACACAGTACACATGATGAAGTAGGTTGGTTAGAGATAACCAATAATGAAAAAATAGGATATCTCTCCTTATTTGAATGATCTTATATCATTTTGGTAAGTTTTTCTTCACAATATCAAACACAATATCTAGATGCAGACATTGTGGTTGACATTGCACGGAAAAACTTACCAAAAACACATAAGACCGTGGAAAAGTGGAGAGAGAAATGTCACAAAATCAATTCTTTGTGTCTCTCTCTTTCATGTCACATGTGCATCGTGCAAATTGTAGCATTTGAGATGCTCTCTGAGATCATGTTCTGTCATGTTTAAGCGTTACTCTCTTGCAAAAGTGTTACTCATATTCATTTACTTTTTTCTTACTCAATCACAACTATTTATTTCCATTTTATTCTCACAACTCATATAATCATTAGATATTATGTTTTTGTAAAAATATTATCAATAATAACATATTTAATATATAATTGAAGAGATTTGTATTTTTTAATCTCTAAAAATGTTTATTTACATTCTATAAGAATAAAATACTTATTGATCAAATGTTATTTTAAGACAACGGAAAAAATAAGTTGATTTGGGAAAATTTTAATCCGGGCCCCCTAGCCACCGCCTAGCCCGTCTAGGCGCCTGCCTAGGCGACTAGTCAGCCGCTTAGGTGTCTGACCGAATTTTTCGACCGATTACACCGAAATCGGGGCGTCCGGCCACTGCCTAGCGACTAGGCGGCGTCTAGATCGATTTTTAGAACCATGGTCTAGACTCAAGACCACAACTTAGTTCAGAAGAGAGTCAAAATCAAATCAACCTTTTCAAACTAGACCAATTCAAATTAGACCAATTGGATTCAAAACTTAATTGAAAATGTTTTAGATACATGAGAAAGGAATGGTGATGCTGAGTAATTTTATTATACGAAATTTATGAGATGGGTCTTTCAAATTATCCAGAATTATATGATGACAGCAATGTTTTAAAAGACGTGACATGTAGCAAGGAGTCAAGGTCAATCCTCAAGCCTTTGAAGCCTAGGCGGAAATACGCGAAGTCTAAGTGTGAAAAAACGTTTTAAATTTCTGTGAAATATTGCTTCGTATGTTATAGTGATATGTGAAGAAAAACGAATATATAACTAAAAATTATTCAAGATTGAGTGTGATTTTTTACTTTACTCGATATATATATTATTTAAATGTATAAAGGTGCATGTACAAAATGCTACATTGCTACCCCCTCCATCTCCCTATTATTGGGACGGAAGGCAGTGACACGCCAATCAAGACAAAAACAACTTTTTGATAAAGTAACCAATCAAAAAGCAAAAAACCAACCACACTAAATTATATCCCTATTACTCTCGCATTGAATTTACTTTTATTTTCCAAATAAGGTATGAGACAATACTAGTGTGACATCCAAAAATGAAAAAATGGGACAATTATAACTTATAAGGGGGCGGAAGAAGTATATGTGTTGCTTCTTACTACTCCATACGGAGTATTAGATTTCATATATAAAATTGATTTTTTTTTTAAATTTAATCAACTCTTTTTTGCAAAAAATAATTCATCTAAAAATCCCCAACTAGGCTTTGTCTTTTGTGCCTAGGCTTACGCCTTTTCATGCCTTTGGTGATCAACTATCTAATTGACTGCCTTTTTCATGCCTTTCTACTACACGAGACGTTTTCCCGCCGCCTCACGCCTAGGCCCCTGGCCCCCGCCTTGTGCCGACTTTATACTACACTGGATGACACTTATGAATTACATTTACGATTTACTCCGTATTATTTAGGAATTACATATAAAATATAGAGTTTCATTTCTATAATGGAAACAATTAACACTTTAAAATCACAAGGCATGCAATATGACAAAGTATTTAAGCGGTTATTTGAGTTTAATGATATGCAATACTCCATTTCATCCATGTAAAGGCTCTCACTCGTATTCTCTAGACGTCTCATCTATTGATTTTCATTTCAATTTAGGAAACAATTAACCCGCTTAAAAGACAAGTAAATTATTAAATATTAGAAACATCACAATGGTCATCACACCCTAATATACTATATATTCATCAAAAATATTTTTCAGAATACACTCAAATTACTTTATTTAATTATTGTATAGATACATGTTTCATTTTTCAATACTAACTCTGATATTCAAAAAAAAAAATACTACGTACCAACTCTTAAACGGGTACAAATCAACATCACTCTTTAATGCTTTAATGCTTCAATGTGGCCCTTATGTAGTTATGTTGGTTCCGTCAGTCCAAGCAAATGGAATATATATTTAGTGCTCATTTGTCAGCCAATTTTTTCATCAAACACGTAATTTTTTATTTCGCGCGTTGAAAATCAAAATGTGTAATAATAAGAAAAAGTAAGGTTCAAATTACTTTTCTACCTGTATCGGTTGAAGTTACTGTAGAGGATCATTTTAGCTATTTTTACATATAATTTTCTCTTTATTTTATTAATAAAATATATTATAAATATTAATTTTTAATAAATCAGCAGAATCGGCCAATTCAGCCACTTTAGCAAGAATTTCATAAATTTCAGCAGAATCAGCCGATTTTGTTATTACCAAACGGACTCTTAACTTTTCTAAGTATGTGTTGAGGGTTATTCCTTCAATCCGTAGGTCCAACATGTAACCCAAGGATTTCGAGTGGAATGTGTGGTGGTTAGATGGCTAAACAAGCAAGAGGAGGTTCAATGGGAAGTCTCAATATAATACAACCGTTACAAAGCCCGCAGGCCATTCGTACAATTGCTATGCTACGAGCTGATATGAATGATGTAATGCTAGAGTGCTAAGATGTCAACCCTTTACAATGAAATAAATGCTACTATTTATACCATCAATGAGTGATTACACATGTTGATGTGACGGTGTGACACCGTACCCGGATGTACTGGAATTTTAAAATTTTAAAATGTACTCCGTATTTGAATTTCCTAGCCAATAATTTTGTGTAAAAGGAGGATACATTTAATTAATGAATGATTAATTAAATTATTTAGCAGGCTCATAATATTGAGAATGTGCTATGAAATATTTAGTTGGGTCATCATAATAAATATAGAAGCCCAATAAAATGCCAATTAAAGTTGAGGAAAATATTTAGGCAACCCGAGTGCTATTTTGACCTAACCTGCCACAAAAAGCAATAATAATTGGGAGGAACTGCCTACACACACTTGAGACTTTTCCTACATGTGTTGGACACCCTAAATAATAGGAAGGGAACAACTAAGCATGGCTTGTTCAGATTATTGAATGAGAGGGTGGTTGTAGACAAAGCCACATCCCTCATTGTCTTATTATTGCATTATCTCTCAATTTGATTGAGAAGAGACACTCTCCTCCCTTTCATTGTGAACCAATCAAGAAAGGCAAAGAGAGAGGCTCTAGGAAATAGTCTCCACAAAGTTCAAGCAAGAAGAAAGAAATCCAAGAAGAAAAGAGCTAGGATTGAGGTAAGAACTCAACTAGTGTTATTTAACTAGTATTATTTTTGTAGAATTTTTAAGAAACCATTTGATGGATTATAGATGTTGTTCTACACGTTTAAAAGTGTAGAAAAATGTTATAAAGTGGTGGTATTTAACTTAGAAGAATCGTTGAATCGATAGGAGTTGAAATCGATGGAAACCGCCAAGAAAAAGAAGTTGTCTAGTGTTGCAGAGCCCGAAAACCGTTCGGCTTTTGTGAAAGCCGCCCGGATTTTGCCTGGCAGTCCAATTTTCCACTTTCAATCGGCCTAGAACGGGGATTGATCGAGGGATTTAATGAAGGCAACTATTGTAGCACATCACAAGGTGAAGATGACTGACTATATTGTTTATAACTAGTGGGTTAATTCATGAGATTACCTAATTTATAAAAGCATGATTTTAATTAATTAATAGAGATATTACCCGAAATAGGAATAAAACAGTTTGAAAATTCCAAAACAGGACTGACATGTTTTTATTCCCAAAACAGGACTAATTACTGTCATGTTTTGGCAGTACCACACGTCAAACATGGCAGTATTTTTTAAAGATGGCAGTAATTAGTCCTATTTTGGGAATAAAAAACATGACAGTCCTATTTTGGAATTTTCAAACTGTTTTAGTCCTATTTCGGGAACTTTCCCTTAATTAATATGCCTAATAAAGTGTCGATTGATCGTATTGTTGTATATGAAGAGTTGATGCATGATTGATTGAACTATGAGTAATTGGAGCATGATTACTTGCTATATTTGAGATGTTGTTCTAGTTGATTTAGTGAAGAACTAATAAAATGATTTATTAATCACTAATTATTTGTATTGACTTTATGGTTAGTAAAGTCAATATATTATGAAGCGAGAATGAGTCATGGCATGGCCGCCGTGTTCGTTTGGAAGGGGAAGACAAGTTGAACTAAGAACAACTCGGGTAGTACTAAGTGACTAGCTCGAGGTTGTAGCATGAACATTAATAAAATTGATCTTAAGTTTAGGACTGTGATGTTTTTTTACTAAGGTAAATACTTCGGATAGCCTTAAATGATTTAAATGGTATATTGATCCAATGAATGGATTGTTGGTGTTATAATCCGGGTGGTCTTTAGGACACCCGTATGATGGATAGCGTATCCGGGGGTAGCTTATCCGAGGGGTTACTGCGGGAAGTAACTAGAGAGAAGTCAGAGCAAATAAGTAAGAGAGAGAAAGTATTCGATTATGTGAACTCGTTGTGTTTTACAATGTGGAAATGGGTTGCTATTTATAGTAGCAATAAATGCTAGATAGGGACACGTGTCAACAATCTGGTGGTCGAGGGGTCACCTCAACTGGGGTGGCACTGGCACTCGCATGTGGCCGCATTAAATGCGGTGGTTGGATGCGACGTTTGTACTTGGTACGTTGATCCAGCGCATGTGGATGGGAGATTCTGTCGAGGAGGATGCCTTCGGCTGTAGATGACAGTCCGAAGGCTCTGCGTACCGAGGGCTCCAATTTCCGAAGGCTTGGTTTTCAGGCCTTGTTCTCC